CGCGGTTGCTCGCCTGGTCACTGGCTCGGTAGCTCACTAGGTCCAACCCTGCGCCTGGATTACGCGTCTGGATTCCGCGCCTTAGCCCGTCTGACCGAGTCCTCCTGTGCAACCCCGCTCGGCCAGCCACTGGTTTCACCCCTTACCGGTCAGGCTGAAGAATTTGTTGTTAACGGACTTCTGAAAAGTTCAATTTTCCGTGTTCTGGCTGTGTTTTATGTTGCTAATATTTAGTTGTCCCTAAACTTGGTTGTGTGAGAAGGCACGGCACATCCACCTATACCTCCATCTTGGCGGAAGTCCCCCACTGGTTTTTATAGCCAAAAGTTGTGGAGACTTATCTTCCTGGCATTGGAATCCTGGGCTTGGGGCCTGGTATGGGGCTGGGACTCCTCCCTCCCAAGACATTTCTCCCAAATTTTTATCCACCACATGTGGGAGAGGGACCAGCCCATTCTACCAGTCTGGATACATAATTCTGTAATTGTCAGACTTGCATCCAGCTCAATTTCTGGTGGTTCTGAGTGATGGTTGCTCTATATTTTAGTTGTAATTTTGATGTGATTGTGCAAAGAGGCAATTCCTGTCTGCCTACACTGACATCTTGACCAGAAGTCCCAAAAGCTTTCTGTTTTCTTCAGGGTAAAAACCCAGCTCTTTAGTACAGCCCACGAAGCCACTAATCCCACGAGTAGCTAGAGCTCTCACCATGCTCATCTTTGAATACTTCTTTCTAACCAAGATGTACAGTTTGTAATTCCTGAAAGTGTCAAAATAATTTACATTTGTGAGCCTCTTCATATGCTGCTCCCTCTTTTTGGACTATCCCCTTCTGTACTTTAACCAGACTAACTGTGGTTCATTCTTTAAGACTCAGCAACTTGAGAACAGAAATTGTGCTTTGTCATCTCTGTATCCCAACCACCTAGCAACTCCACCATAGAGGAGTTGCTCAACAAATGTTTTACTGAATGAAATGTTTACTGTTTGTTTGGTATCCCTGTGGCATGCTTGCTATGCAAGGAACAGCTGGTCCAATCTCAGTCATTTTCCCTCTCAGACTGGCTGCTTTTCCTTTGCATCAATGATACAGCTGGAAAAGCAAATTCCAACTATGTCATCTTATTCCCTACTCTATAACCCTGGAAAAGTCATTAATTGCCTGAGTCTCTCTTTATCTGTACTAAGGATTAACAAAAAGGAAAGGATGAGGTTAATTACTTAAATTAATACTTATTAAACCAGATATTTTGCTAGATACTCTTAAATAAATTAGCTTGAGTGATAGACACAATATCCCAGTGAGACAGATTTTATACCCTTTCTATAGAAGAGGAAACTGCAGCTCACAGTAGTTAGGTAGAAAACTTTGCCAAAGTTGCAAAGCTGGAAGCAGATTTGGTCTAAGTGGTTTTATCATAGGCAACATTGGGAGGGGGGGAGCATCCAGGTCTTTTCCAACTGAAAGACAGATTTTTCATTCTCACAGCCTCTTGCAGCCTCAGATTTCAAGGATAGAGGTTCTGCCATTTCTCATCAGACCAACATCTGGTGAGCACAGCATTTTACCTCTAGGTTCAAGTTTCCTGGGTTTCTCCTAGTCTGTCCTACAGATTTTGACAATGATCTCCTGCATTCCTTCTGCACCTGTATTTTAAATCAGTTTTTAAACCTGTCATATCTTGCTAGTTTAATGGGAAGAAATGAGTCTTCCCAATTTAGGTGGCAAAGTTAGGGTTCAAAGTGATTTGCCTAAAGTCATATGGTATCATTCGTCAATAAGAGGAAAATAATTCTAATAGAGGCTGACATATCCATGGAACCAAATGTACACACTTCTCTATTTCTTTGTTTGCTTATATTTATTTAATTGGGGGGGTACATTTTTCTAATTCACTAGGAAGCAGAAGAGTGGCATTATGGAAAAAGAACCAGCAGTATATTCAACAGACGTGGGTTCTCATCTGAGGTTTCTGGTTGAAAAACTACCAGAGTTCAAGAAAAAAAGTACTGTAGTTCAGAAAGAGTAGGTCTATTTTAGGAGATAATCTTGTAGTTCAGGCAACATAGGGAGATTAGGAGCTCCTTGAGAACAGAAATTTAGTTTATCTTTATATCCCTGGTGCCTAGCACAGTTCCAGGAACTATCTGATACTTAATATTAGTTAACTGGAATATGGGATTTAGAAGGAAGAAGGCAAGGGAGGGAACTTGAGAGAGTTTAGAATTGAGAACCCAAGAGAGAGACAGTCTGGAAAAAGTGGGTCTAAAAGTGAGACACCAAGGCATTTGTGATTCTAGTTTTCTTACTCTAAGACTTGAGGATATTTACTAGAGGAACAGGGTATTGTGGCTTTAAATGACTTCAACATAGTCAATGAATCTGCTCTGCTAAAAGAGTTATCCCTTTGCTCCTGTGCTTGGCCTCCCCCACCCCCTTAGCTCCCCAAACCCTTCTCAGCCGCTGTGATGGGATAATTAGATGCGAGAGCTCAGCACAAATGATGCTCCTGTTGCTTAGCAACTAATGGTTTCCAAGGAGACCGCAAAGCACAGCCTCCAGAGCAACCAGTGAGCAGCTTGGCAGGGCAGAGAGAAGGCACAACTCTCAGCTCCTTCAGAAGCCTGGAGAGGGCTAGGGGTGGGGAGGGATGATTGGCAGAAGATAATGTTTAAAGCCACGGGGCCTCATCCCTTTAAAATCTCGCCAGAGCTCCCCCACTCTGTTCCACTCATAATTTCAGATGGGTATGGGGTTTAGGAGCAGACCCAATACAACCCACCCTACAATGAATCCAACTTCTTCTCCTTTTGGTTTCCTGGTTTGTGGCTGAAATAGAAAGAGACACCCCCCAAGCCCAAGTGTAAACATCCTCCTGGGTTAGTGACTTCCTCCCAGGTTTGAAGAGTATCAGAAAGATCCCCTTGCCTCTGGAATTCCACCTTTTAACATGTTTGCTCCCTCCAAAGTTCTACTCAACGTATAAAAAGATTGTCTTTTAGTTTGTACAATGATGGTAGAATCTGATCTAAAAGAGGACAGCTCTGGCTTGTGTGGCTCAGTGGATTGAGCTCCGGCCTGTGAACCAAAAGGTTGATGGTTTGGTTCCATCAACTCATGTGCCTGGGTTGCAGGCCAGATCTCAGGTAGCGGGGCATGGGAGAGGCAACCACACATTGGTGTTTCTCTCCCTCCCTTCCCCTCTGTCTATAAATAAATAAATAAATAAATAAATAAATAAATAAATAAATAAAACCTTTTAAAATAAGAAAGGACAAAACCCAAGGTGCAAGAAAAACAGAATTCAGTTCTTTACCCAAAGCCAGCCTATCCTGGGAGACTGAGGAGAAACAATGGCCTCTCCATCAAAGAGAATCCCATGCCCAGGGTTTGGGATCCTCTGAGTGGGTTGGGCATCATCCCACAAACCAATGGGTTGAGGGGTCACCTGGGTTGCTGTCCAAGTCCTGGGTTGAGATAAATGTTTCTCTTGCACATTGATGTTTCTCTCCCTATCTTTCTCTCTCCCCTCCCTTCTCTCTAAAAATAAATAAATAAAATCTTATAAAAATGTTTGAAGAGGATCCTGGGTGTGTACATATGGAGAAATACAATACAATACACGTAGCAACTCAAACGGCAGCTTCTCAGACTAGCATCAATCAGTGTTACCAGAAGCTCATTAGAAGTGCAGAATTTCAGGCTTCACCTCAGACCCACTGAATCAGAAACTGCATATTAACAAGATCCCTGGTGACTCATATACACATTAAATTTGGAGAAGCACTGGTCTAAGACTCTCCCATCCCCTGCTTGGGTCCATAAGTTCTATCTTTATTGTCAGCACTGCTCATACCCCAGGCTTTGAGCCTACTCTTCACACCACAAGAGTAAGGACACCAACCCACCAGTCCCTCACTTTCCTACCAACACCTTGCTCCTTCTCTGGGAGTAGGGAAGATAGAATGGTTCATGGAGCAAGAAGACATACATAATTCTCTCAGACTTTGTAGACATCTACGACCTCTCCTGGCAAAGTGTCCACTTTCTACAAGTGACTCCACCTCTCTGAATCTCATTTTCCACATCTACAAAAGGGAGCTAATAACATTACTGCCCAGGATGGCTGTAAGAATAAATATGTGAGAGCATGCTAAGCCCCTGCCCACTGCTTTCTCCTCATCTCTCTTCCCCTTCTGTTCATAATTCCATCTTCACTTCTGTCTCATTGAGCCCATAGAACTTGTCTCTTTTTCTTGTTTATTCTCAAGCAGTTCAACAAAAGTTACTGACCAAGGCTGACTGTGCCCACCCCCCACCCGCCAGACTGGGACACTTGCCCACCTCTCAGGTCTCTCTAGAAGTCTTCCCTGGCACCCTTTGCTCCACTCTCTAGAAGGACCTGAACCTTTTTATATTCCCTGACACCGCATCCCTCTACCTCTCCCACAGCAGCAGTACTTGGGCCTCCCTCAGTGGACACCAAGAATCAGAACTCTTGGCTCTGCTGCCCCCCACTACCAGTTTCTATTTCCCTCCCATTCTTGCTCAGCCAAGACCCTTTCAGGAACCCCTCAGTGTTACCTGCCTCTTCCTGCACATCAGGATAACCTCAGAACTTGCTGCCCTCCTGGGAAGACCTCCTCCCACCTGGGGGAAGCTATCCTCTGTGGACAGAACATTCGTGCCTCTGCACATGTGAGGCCCAGAGAAGGTATGACTTCCACCCCTCTTAGTTACCATGCCCCTCTGCAGCCGATTAAGCCACCAAGATCCAGCCAATGTTCCTATACCTGGCCTAAGGGCCAGCTTCCCATCCTGAAAAACTTGTCTGTCCCTGCCCCCCTCCCTTTCCACCCCCCCTGCCCCGCCCCAGGCTGTAGAGCCCAAGGGACAGGTTGGACAAGATTCCTCTCCCACCCCTCCCACCCTCAAGACAAAACCAGCCACCCCAGGGGCAGGGCCTCACTTGCCTCAGGAAGCCGCAGCCTGTCAGTTCCCAGCCCAGCTATGGCATCCCTGCTACTCATCCAGATCTTTCCCTTGATCCTGATTCTGCTGGCTGTCCTGGCCCCAGGGTCTGCAGGTCTCTGCCATTTCTGGGGAGAAGCTGGGGTCTGGACTGGAGGCACTGTGCCCTCCTGTGCCTTCCAGGGCTCTAAAAGAGGAGTTCATCTGACCAGTTGGGGGTGGAGGGCTGGCGATGGCAGTGACCAGACATCAGTCACTGAGCTGAGAGCATACTCCCAGTCCTCTTCCAGCCCAGGAGGCAGAGAGGTGTGGGGAAGGGCCCAGGCTGTGGATAAGGGTAAGGTTGGGCACACAGGATCTGGAGGGCACACAGGATCTGGAGGATAAATAAGAGTATCCAGCTTCTGCAGCCCAAGCCTGCCACCTGGTGGTCAGATCAGAAAGGGCCTGTGTTCTGCCAGTGGACTACAGAGGACACTACAGCCTCAGAATGGGCCTGGGGCTGGATGTGATGGTGGAGAATTGAATTCCCCTCTCCCACTTCACTTCCTCTTGGCTCCCCCAGCTGTATTCAACATTTCAAGCCTCTCTGGTCTGCTGTCCCCAGCACTAACGGAGAGCCTGCTAGTGGCCTTACCCCCCTGTCACCTCACAGGGGGTAATGCCACACTGATGGTCCGGAGAGCCAATGATAGCAAAGGTCTGCTACCCATTCCCAAGGCTGCCCCTAGTCCCTTCCCAGGACATCCCAAGCATCCCTTCTCCCATGCATGCCTTCCTGTCAATCCCATTGCTGGGCTGGAACTGTAAATACTGCCCCTTCTTGGAGCCTCCAAAAACTTGACCCTAACACTCATTCCTAATTTCCTGCTCAGTGGTGAAGTCTAGCTTTGTGGTGCCTCCATGCCGTGGGCGAAGAGAGCTGGTGAGTGTGGTAGACGGTGGGGCTGGCTTCACGGTCACTCGGCTCAGTGCATACCAGGTGACAAACCTCGTTCCAGGAACCAAATACTAGTAGGTACTAGACCCAGGCCTGGAGCACCTGTGGGAGGGGGTATAGGAAGAGAAGCTGGGTCCTGACATTTGGTGGTAGTGGTGGGTTGTAGTCAGCATGGGGAAAGAGTGCGGGCACACCTAAAGAGGTCAAGAATGGGCATCTCCTGGGGAAAGGCAGAATGGAGGCACAGTTGTGGGAGGTGAGGGCTGGGCTCCCTTTTCCCCCACGTCTCAGATACTCACTGAGCATTCTTCTATCTCTTCCAAACCCCACCACAAAAGCATTTCCTACCTAGTGAAGAAGGGGACATCCACTGAGTCCAGTAGAGAGACCCCATTTTCCACACTTCCTCGTAAGTAATACCCACTTCCTTTCACATCTCAAGGCCTACAGAATCTTCTCTGGCCCTTTCCACCCATCCCCCAGCTGCCCCTCCTTGAGCTCCCTTAACCCCTTGGCTTCCAACTGTCCTAGCACTGAGCCCTTGGCATTTTTTTTAAAGATTTTATTTAATTTATTTTTAGAGAGAGGGGAAGGGAGGGAGAAAGGGAAAGAGAAACATCAGTGTGTGGTTGCCTCTTACACACCCACAACTGGAACGTTCACATGGTTCCCAGGACACCTGGGAACCTGCCACCCAAGCATATGTCCTGAGTGGAAATCAAACCAGTGACCTTTGAATTCGCAGAACCAGTTCTCAATCCACTGAGTCACAGCAGCCAGGGCAGTCCTTGTCATTTTAACTATCTGTTGACTCATCTTGACTCATCTTGCTACACTGCTAAACTAAAGGCTCTTTATGGGTAGGGACTGTATCCAAATAATTTCTGTATCCTTAGTGAGTGGCCTAGGACATGCTTATGAATGTTTATTTGATGGTGTCTGGATTCTTTGGATGATTTGTTGGAGGGTTGGATAAATAGATGAAAGGATAACTGGATGGCTGGATGAGGGACTTGGATGAGTGGCCAGGCAGGACAAAGCCACTCCTGCCCATAAAGAACTCCTTACTTTCTCTTCTGACAGGAAGGAAGGTGGAATCCATTGGGCTGAGAATGGCCCGGACAGGGGGCATGGTGGTCATCACAGTGCTGCTCTCTGTTGCTATGTTCCTGCTGGTTCTGGGTTTCATCATAGCCCTGGCACTGGGTGCCCGAAAGTGAGACCTGCACTGGGTGGTGGGTTCCTCCAGGAGGTCCAGGGCACCATCTGTCTTTCCAGCCCAGAGCTTTGCCTTTTGCTCCAGCCATCTCTCTTAAAAAGACTGCCTATTCCTGTTCTCAAGCACCGGACTTTAGCTCCTTAGGTGCCTTCACCTCCCCTCACTCTCCTTCCTCTGTTCCTCTCCTCATCCCCTAAGGCCTCACTTTCACTCAACTCTCTCTATTATTTCCCTCACCCCACTCCTGTCAGAATTGATTTTCCTTCCATTTCACCTCTTTAATTGTCCCCAATGACAATTCACACCCCCTCCCTACCTAGCGACCTAAGTTCTTACAATAAAGTCAGATGTTACCTTGCTGTGTGTGTTTCCCTTCTGAGGGCTCACTTTGGCCTGAAGCTATAGATTCTGTGTCCAGGCTACAGGCACTCCCAGTCCCCTCCCTGCCCCATATCACCAGACTTGCTTTTCCCAGGAAGCAGGAAGGGGACAGATGAGAAAAGAACCCAGGAGTCAGAGTTCTCAGACCCATACCTGGGGCTGTGGGTTTTTGTGTCCCCCACAGCAGGCCACCCAGCTGAGGCTAGTGCACCATGCAGGGACCTTGAAGTCATAGAAACTAGGGTGTGAGGGGAACACCTGCTGGCAGAGCAAGAGGAAGTGTTGGGGAAAAGATTAGAGGTTCTGACTAGGGAAAGACAGAGTGCCACCAGGATGGGACCAAAGGACAGGGTACTGGGAAGTGGAGTGGAGAATAGGCTCAAGGGGCTCCAGAAGGAGAGAGCAGAAGTAGAATAACCCTGGGTGGAGAGGGACAAGAGTGGTAAAGTCTGGTAACTAAAAGAAAAGAGCAATAGTCACCCTCATTCACTTTGGTCCTCTTTAATATATATTCCTTATAACAGTCAGTGATCTTTGCATTGTTCTGAAAATAAAGACTAAAATCTTTGAGTTGACCTTCAAAACCAGCCCTGGTCTCTCTACTAACTGCCCCTCAGCTCTCATCATGTTCCCTCCAATGCTCTGTTCCTCTTGCCTCAGGGCCTTTGCACACACAATTTCATCGCCCTGGCCTGCTCTTAAAACTGCCCCAACCCCTACTCCTATTTGCATAGTTAATTCAGCTTCTTCAAGGAAGCCTTCCCTCACATCTCTCCATTAGGTTGGATGTTCCTAGACTATCTTTCATAGCAATACTATGGTTTAAAATTATATATTTATATGATTATTCAATTGTCTCCTCCATCAGACTGTACATTCCTTGAGAGCAGTTGCTTTGCTCACAAGGCAACAGTGCCTCTGCTCCACGGGGCCTGGGACATAGTGCATAGTACTCAATAAATACTAGTTGAATAAGTGAACACACTAACAAATAAACAAGCCCTTATAGAAAAGAAAGGGGCCAGAAAAGCACCAAAAAAGACAATGGAGGAAAAGGAAAACAATACTTATTCACTCCACAAATATTAACTGAGCATTTATTATATGCCAGGTTGTACTGAAGGTTCTAGGAATAAATTGTGAAAGACATTGCTCCTCCCTCATGGAACTTACACAGAATTTAGTGAAAGAGAGACTCCCAAAAATGTGAACAAGTACATTAAACAACTGTGATTAGTACTACCAAAAAATGAGAGGAGGTGAACATTGGGACCTTTCGTTGTTTGGGTAGGCTTAACTGAGCTGAGGCCTGAGGTCCTGCAGGAGAGGGACTGGAAGAGCCTGCCATGCCTAGAGAATGGTTTGGCTCTGCTTCCCCCACTACCCGCCCTAGCCAGGGAAGGCTTGGGAGCCCAGCATGCCTGTGTTGTGGGAAGTGCTGCACATTAAAATTATCTAAGCACGGGTGTCCAACCCATAGCCCACGGGCCACATGCAACCCAGAATGGCTGGGAATGTGGCCCAACGCAAAATCATAAATTTACTTAAAACTTTTTTTTTTTTTGCTCATCAGTTTTCATTAGTGTTAGCATATTTAATGTATGGCCCAAGACAACTCTTCTTCCAGGGTGGCCCAGAGGCACCAAAAGGTTGGACACCCCTGATAGGGTGCTTTTTAACCCCTAAAGCCTAGGCTCCTGCCAGGTAGCTCAGTTGGTTAGAGCATCATCCAGATATGCCAAGGTTGCAGGTTCAGTCAACCCCAGTGAGGGCACAAGGGCATGAATAAGGATCAACCAGTGAAGGCATAAGTAGAACAAAAAGTTATTGTTTCTTCCTCCCTTCTTTGCTCTCTAAAATCAATAAATAAATATTTAAAAATAAATAAACAAACCCCCAATTCCTAGGCCATATCCCATCCCAGAATTAGAATGACTAGGGGTTGAATCCAGGCACTGGTATTTTTTAGAGATTCCAGATCCCAATGAACAGCAGAGTTTGGAAATTACTGACATAAATAATTTTTAACTATGGTAAAATAAACATAAAATTTACTGTTGTAACCACTTTTGAGTGTATAGTTCAGTAGCATTAAGTTCATTCATACCTACTATCAAAACTTGTCACTGCTATCCACCTCCAGAACCTTCACATCATCCCAAACAGAAATTCTATATGCATTAAACTAGAACTCCCCATTCCCTTCTCCCCATTCCTGGCAATCACATTCTACTTTATGTCTCTATGAATTTGGCTGTTCTAGGTATATCATAAAAATGAAGTCATACAACATTTCTCCTTTTGTATCTGGTTTATTTCACTCAGCATAGTGTTTTCAAGGTTCATCCATGTTGTAGCATGCATCAGAATTTTATTCCTTTTTAAGAATGAATAATTTTCCATTGTATATATGTATAAGCCATATCTTGTTTATCCATTCACCTGCTGATGGACTTTTTTTGTTTCTACCTTTTAGTTATTGTGAATAATGCTGCTATGAACATGTGTGTACAAATATCTATTCATATCCGTGCTTTCAATTCTTTTGAAAGAATTCTTTCAAAAGAATATAACCCAGAGGTATTACCCAGAGGCGGAATGGTATATACCCAGAGGTGTAATGGCTGGATCCTATGTTTAATTTTTTAAGGAGTCACCATACTGTTTTCCACAGAGAGTTCACCATTTTACATTCTCACCAACAATGCACAAGGGTTCTAATTTCTCCACATCTTAGTCAACATGTGTTATTTCCTGTGTTTTGTTTGTTTATTTTTAGTATAGCCAACCCAACAGATGTGAAGTGGCATCTCATTGTGGGTTTTCTTTTTTATCCTCACCCAAGGATGTGCTCATTGAGTTTAGAGAGTGGGGAAAGAAGGAAAAGAGAGAGAGAGAGAGAGAGAGAGAAAGACATCAATCAGTGTCTCCTGTGCAACCCAGGTATGTGCCCTGACCTGGAATCAAACACACAACCTTCTGGTTTACTAGACAATGCTGAACCAACTGAGCCACACTGGCAGGGCTCATTGTGGTTTTAATTTGCACTTCTTGAATGATCTAGTGATTAGTGATGTTGAACATCTTTTTACGTGCTTACTAAACATTTGTATACCTTCTTTGGAGAAATGTTTATTCATATTCTTTGCCCATTAAAAAAAAAGATTTTATTTATTTTTAGAGAGAGGGAAAAAGAGGGAGAGAAGCATCAATGTGTGGTTGCCCCCTGCACACCCTCTACTGGGGATGTGGCCCATAACCCAGGCATGTGCCCTGACTGGGAATCGAACCAGCGACCCTTTGGTTCTCAGGTCAGCACTCAATCTACTAAGTCACACCAGCCAGGGCTCTTTGTTGATTTTTAAATGGGTTTTGTGTGTTTGTGTGAGTTGTAGGAGTTCTTTATATTTTCTGGATATTAATCCTTATCAGATATATGATTTGTATCATATTAACATTATGAAATGGTAGATTAATTTGAAAAGGGCTATAAAAGAATAGATGCATTACAACATTTTTTTATAAAACAAAAATGAAACACCTCTAATAAAAAGATTGCAAAAATATACATCAAAATGTAATTGACCATTATCTCTGATTAATACAAAGAATCATTTTTGTTTTATTTTTTCCCTTTGTGCTTTCTATACGTCCAAGTTTTCTGCATCAAACATGCATATTTTTATAATAAGGGAAATATCATTAAAATATTAATAGCATTAAAGGTATAGTTCTAGCACACTTTTAAAAAAGAAGCTGTTATTTTCACTATAGTTAAAAAACAACATTTATTGAGGGTCTCCTATGTGCCAGATACTCTTAAAGTTTCTGATCTTGGAGACCAACAATAGCAACAAGGCACAGGGCAGATGGGCTCTGATGGAGAACCCAGGACGCACAAAGAAACCAGAGGGGCCCAACACATCCACTGGTCAAATCTGGAATAACTGGAGAATTAAAACAAATAATGATAGTAATGAACTACAATCCATTCTAAAAAAAAGAATCATTTCTGTCCACACTGATAAACAAACAAATATGGAATAAGGAAAAGCTCTTTCTTACAGTAGAATGCCAACTTAATAAGTAGAAAAAGATTTTTTTTAAATAACCAGCTTTTAAAAATATGTGGTTTATTTATTTTTAGAGAGTGGGGAAGGGAAAAAGAGATCAGTGTGGGAGAGATATATTGACCCATTGCTGCATGCCCCCAACTGGGTACCTGGCCAGCAACCCAGGCATGTGCCCCTGACTGGGAGTCAAAATGGCTACTTCTCAGTTCTAAGGCCAAACCATATCAGCCAGTGATAAAAAAAATAATTATTTTATATCCATCAAAGTAATGATTGATTCAAGCAGGAATAATAAATAGATGCTAGAATTAATGGGCCCAAACTTGATGAGGATCAGGATTTTAAATCAAGGTATACCCCCAAAATTACTTTCTAATTACAAAAGGGGGAAAAGAGATAACTAGAGTAGAGAAACCTGGTGGATACCACTAAACCAAGTGATTGAAGTTAATGTCACTAATGAGAAAATTAACATAATGTGATGTAAGGAAACAACATCACTGCTGTGGTATTCTTGCCAAAAATCCATAAACACCAGATAAACCTTAACTAAGAGACATTCTACAGAATAAATGGCCTGTACTCTTTAAAAATATTTATGTTATAAAAGATTTAAAAGGCTGAGAAACTGCTGCAGATTAAAAGAGACTAAAGAGATGAAAATTAAATGCAAGCCATGAACTTGAATTGCATCCTAGACCAGAAAACAAATTTATGTAAAGGACATTGTTGGGACAATAGGTAAAACTTGAGTAGGATTTGTACACTAAACATAGTTTTGAATCAATATTAAGTTTTCTGAT